TGATTCAAATGAAGATGTGGTTTCTGGCTGAGCCTTCAGTCATGAGGGTCGTAGCAGCAAACAAAGACCAAAGAGGTTTGATGTGGGTTTGAAGGTTCCAGGAAAGGAAGGCTGCTTTATACTGTATGTTGGATCCCGAGTGTTTCCTAAAGGTTCAAGTGTGAAAGTTTTGCTCACTGGAGTGGTCCTTGCATGATGTGGTGGAACTTTTACCATGTGGTGCCTAATGGAAGTCAGTGGGTTATTGATGGGGACTAGATCAGGCCTGCTTTCTCTTCATGCTTCCAAGCTTATGAGGTAAGCTGTAGTAAGACATTGCTTTGTGGGACTGCCAGCCTGCAAATAATGACATGGAGACTTATTAATTATGAAAGGTTGGCCTCAGCTTAGGCTTCTTCCCAATTAGCTCTTATAACTCAAATTAACCAGTTTGTATTAATCTACCTGCTGTCATGTAGCTCGGTTACGTCTGCTCTGCACTGTATGTCTGACTTCTTCAGAGTCTTGCAGGCATCACTCATGCATGTAGATTCATCTCCAGTTCCTCTATGTCCCCAGAAGCCCCTCCTATTCTCTCCTGCCTAACTGTTGGTCATTTTTCTATTTATTAAACCAATCAGAAGGCACAGACACATCTTTTTTTCTCCGTTTTTTAATTTGAATTAGAAACTAGATTGTTTTAAATGTCAATCCTAGTCCCCTGTCCCTCCCCTCCTCCCTTGCCCTGCAACTAACACCCTACCTATCCCAAACCCTTTCTACTCCCCAGGGAGAGTGAGGCCTTCCATAGGGTGTCTTCAGAATCTGTCATATCCTTTAGGATAGGGCCTAGCCCCACCCCAGTGTGTCTAGGCTCAGGGAGTATCCCTCTATGTGGAATGGGCTCCCAAAGTCCATTCCTATGCTAGGGATAAGTACTGATCCACTACAGGAGGCCCCATAGATTTCTGAGGTCTCCTCACTGACTCCCATGTTCCTGGGGTCTGGATCAGTCCCATGCTGGTTTCCCAGCTATCAGTCTGGGGACCAAGATCTACCCCTTGTTCAAGTCAGCTGTTTCTGTGGGTGTACCAAAAATTTTCCAACAACAGTGAGAGCGCTTAGCTCTGCCATGCTTGACTGTGGCTCTCTTACCAGAGATCTAAAATTAATGGTTCATGTAGTCTTGGGCTCAAACTTTAAGAATTGTGAGCTAAATAGTTTTTTATGTAAGTTAATTATCTCAGGTATTTTTCTATACACACGGAGGGCTGACTAACATTAAAATGGGCAGAAGGGGTTTCAATTGAAGGTTTGTAGACAACGTTCTCCCTGACAGAGTCTGTTCTACCCAGTCTGGACACCCTGGCAGATCTAGTCGCTAAGAACACAGCTCTGAACTCACCTTCAGATTATGTCCAGATGTAACAGTTTCTCACAAACTCTCTCATTTAGGATGCAGATTAGAATTGAGTCCGAGACTCCACTCCTGGGTATTATTAGAGCCATCCATGCAACTTTGTGCATGTCATTAATACATTTTATTCTCCCATATAAGTAGCTACAGTGCAAAGGTGCAGGATATTGAACACTTAAAAACAAATGTAGCTTTTATTCTCATGTTTTTATCTCTAGGAATTTGTGTATTGAAACCCCCAACACCAAACCAAAAAAAAAAAAAAAAAAGGTCAGGAAGGGGTGGCACACACCTTTAATCATAGTACTTGGGAGGCAGAAGCAGGTGGATCTCTGTGAGTTTGGGGCCAACCTGGTCTCCAGAGTGAGTTCCAGGAGAGGCTCCAAAGCTACACAGAGAAACCCTGTCTCGAAAAACAAATAAACACACAAAACAAAAAAGAAAAGAAAAAATGCCATAAATTCCAAAGTGAGACAGATATTACACATAAACATTAGGTAAACCAATTTTGAAATATATGTTTATAAGATGTTGAGTATTAATTACACAATTAAATCATACAGGACTCGATATGCATATAAGAAACTATTCAGGGGATATTGCTGAACATTAAAACCTCTACATTAATTCTCTATTGATTATATGGAATAAATTATATAAAAATTAGGTAGTCACATTTTCATTAAAGTAAATATATTTCTGTATTTGGGAAGGTAGATTTACTGAAGCTTTTCTTCCTTCCTCCCCCCTCCCTTTCTTCTCTCCCTCCTTCCCTTCCTTCCTCTCCCCTCCTTCCCTTTGTTTCTTTCTTTTGAGGTTTAGAACTTTCATACTGCTGCTGAGGCAGGTCTTTCCTACATTTCCGTTGTCTCTTCTTAGCGCGCCACAAGATAAGAAGTTTGGGAGCCAGTGTTGACAGTCTTTATTTCTCAGGCATAGACATGACCAATGGTGAAGTTACAACTGTCTATGAACATTATAGTGCAGATGTTACTGTGCATCCTTTCATTCAGGCATGAAAGTTGCCTCAGGTAATGGCTGCTCTGCATGGTGGGATAAACCTTGAATATTTCGATTTGCTTCCTGCTCTGGTTGCAGAAGAATGATGGGAGGGGGGTGTTGGATACTCAGCACTGTGTATCTCTTATGTTATTTGGAGCAAATTTCAAAGAGTAAGCCTTAGTTCAGTGCCTATTAAACATCATATTTATTAAAATAGGTCACTGTCATAATTTTAAGAAATACAGTTTATAAAGTTTTGCTGATAGACTGGCATTTCTCATGTAGTACAGGTTGTGGGAAATAGACATATCAAAAGGCACTAAAATAGGAATGGCAAGACAGAAAACCTGAGTTCTGGCCCCACTAAGGCTTCTTAGTAACTTCAAGACCTTAGACAATTTCTTTGTCAGAAAACCAACAATAGCCTGGATAACATTAACATGGATCAGATAAAGTTTAGAATAATGATTGAAAGTATGCAAGGTCCCAACTTTCTCAGAGTTAGATGCTCTGTGTAATCTGGTGGAAGCCACCTGTATGGGCACTGGTGGAAGGTCAAGTATCAAGGTCAGAGGTGGGTTTCTCAGATGTGATAGATGTGTCATTTTCTTTCTTAATCCTCTCTGTCCCTGCCTCCTTCCGCTCTGAAACATCTCCCAATTTCAAGGCCATAGATCTCACTACTTTACCTGGGTGCATTTTATTTACCTAAATGTGTATGTCCTACATAATCAAGACACTTGCCAGAATAGGAGAACACATAGGAAAGCGATATAAATAAATATATATGTCACAGATGATCTTACCAACACCCCACCAAAGTCATCTAGGGAGCATCCATTCTGTTGGTTTTCATCCTTTAGAATAGACATCTTGAACATGTTAGCTATAACTGCATCTCTCCTGTAGTCATATTTGTGCTGATCTTTATTGTGTATTCAAATTCTGTTTTGTTAATCTTTCTCCTAAACACACACATGTGTTCTATTTATAATGAGCTTAATTTCCAATGCTAGCCTGATCCCGAGTTGGTTGATTGAAAGGTACAGTGAGGAGTTTGAATGACACATTTTTATTATATATTTTGAGTAAAATAGAACTTCAGTGGGCTTTCTTAGGTTTCAATAACCCAGTATAATTAAAGAATTATAACACATTACATAGAATAAGAGTATGTGTAGCCATGGCTCCAACATGTGCATTGTTCCTGCAGCTTGCCATTGTTCACAGTGTGGACTTTAATTTAGAAGCTTCAAAAGCCACTTCAGCCACTAGAGGCAACTTGGCACATTCCCCCCCCCCAAAAAAAAAGAGTATGTGTAGCAATTCTACCACAGTACAAAGCTAGGATGCTCAGAGTGGGGTCATAGAAAATGCTTTTGCATATGTGATTAACACTGGTCCCAGAGGGACAGGTAATACTGTTGTGAGGGTATGAAAATAACTTTTATTCATCCTTAACCTTTTACTAGGATGATGTGGAAAACTTTCTTAGTTTTCTAATGCTTTCTGTGTTAATGATCCTTGCTAGAGGAGACATGCACCTGGCAGAGCAGTCTTTGTGTTAAACCATTCACACTGCCAGTGATGGAGTGCTTGCCTGCTGTGCAAAGGGTCAGTCCTCAGCCCTGTTAAAATCCATACATGCACAAAAATATATATCATCACCACCATCATCATTACCACTACCGCCATCATCATCATAATTTCTCAGAGTTAAAGAGAATCAAGAAGCCCAAGTTCAAGGCACACCAGAGTCAGTGTCTGGTGAGGGCCTATGTCCTGGTTCATAGATAATACGTTTCACAATATTTTCATATGGTGGAAGAGGGAGGAGACCTTCTGGGCCATTTTATCATAGCATCAACACACTCATGAGAGCTTTTTACTAAATAGCCCAGTCAGTCACCAAAGGCCCACCACCTCATGCCATTAAACTTTGATTCTCTGTGAATTTGATCAGTATAATGCAACTAAAATAACTTTGTTGAGTCCTATTGTTTAGCCTGCACCAGTGTGTCCATTTTTCATTGGTGCTAATGTGAGTTGAGTTTCTGATTTCTTTCTTAAACTCAGACAAAAATCAACTGAACAAAAAGATCCCTGAAGGTTTTAAAGAGGTTTTGTCTGCTCTCTGCCAGGGTATGAACTTAACTATTTCTGTATTTCACAAGACCAACCAGCTTCTTTTTGGCATCCCTTTAGCTATGGATAATAATTTATATCGTGTTAGTTTTCCTATAAAGGGGGATGTGTAATGTATTATCTTGAAAACATACCAGTAGAAAAGAGTCATGCATTTGTGTAAATCAGATATCAACCTCTTGATAAACTAGATCCTTAGACTCAATGTTTTTATTCCTTTTTTCATCCTTAATATCTCTGTTCTACCTTATCATAATTTATTGTCCCACATGCAAGATAAAATACAACAGAGTTGTGCCCATGCTGTCTCAGATGTGGTTGGGGTTGATATAGAGTGACATTTTGTTTAACTTTACTCTTATCCTTGTTATGGAATTATACCATACTTGTTGGGACAGCTTGTAACTTTCATGCCCTCAACTGTATTCTCCATAGCTGTGTCTGTTTACGATTATGTATGGCTGGTCTGAACTTGTCCTTTTGTGTTGCAGGAGCTATGCCTGTCCCAGACCAGCCTCCTTCAGCTTCAGAGAAGACCAGCTCCTTGAGTCCAGGCTTAAACACCTCCAATGGGGACGGCTCTGAGACAGAGACCACCTCTGCCATCCTTGCCTCCGTCAAAGAACAGGTAGAAGCATTTCATTTGTGTCTTATTAATGGGTGAATGTGAAAATTGCTTCTTTGGGTGAACATCGATGGTTACATTGTTTGAGAATAATATCATGTTAGTATTTATTAGATAAATAATACTAAAATATGGTTAAAATTGTTTTTGACTTCATGCTATTACTTAGACAGCTTTGTGATCTAGGCAGCTTTTCTTAAAAACATAGTCCAACATATTCCATATGGAGAAGAACACTTTCATGGAGTTGAAGTTTTGGACTATATGTTAATATTTATTGTTATTGCTGGTTTCAGGTTCAAATAGTTGGTACACGGAAATGGTGTCTAATAAACTGTCAACAATTATATGCAAAGCTAAAATTTAAGACTATGTTGATAATAATTAAGCATCTCAGGAGGTGAAAGGAAAACACCCTTCCTGGTGTTTTTTTTTTTATGGCTATTCATTTTTTTTGGCGGGGAAGTTTTTTTGGTGGATCACACTGTATATTAAAGATTGTGTGGAAATATAAATACTTGAGAGTTTAAGGAAAATCAGTAGAAATCATCATATAAAACATGTTAATTACAATACAGGAAAAATTCTACAACTTTCCCTGTCAAAGTCATCAAAATCTGATTGACTTCTCAGATATGACGTCACTATAAAAATAGATTACTTTAAAAAAAATTTAAGTTGAAGATTTAAAAAGTTCCACAAAAGCTATGTTTCTTGTAAATCAAGGATGGCAAATGATTACAGAAATTTGGATGGAGACTCATAGTTTTTTTTTTTTTTTGAGCATATTCTAGGGAATAAAGCAGGATTCTTCATTTAAAAAATGTAATTGACATGTAACTTTGGCATTTGTTTAGAAAATGCAGTATTATAACTTGAAACCTAACCTATATAATCTGTAGATGGGGTAATAAGCATTTCTACTAGTGAAATAAATTCAGGCTGCTTTCTTCTAGTTATTTTGAAGTAAACAGTAAATTTTTGCAGATTTTCATTGTGCTGTGATGCCGTAGAACATGAGACAGATTCTTCTGTTCGATTATATTTTGTTGCCCGGAGCTCTATCTCTCTGCTCCTTCACACCCTAGTTTCTTCAGGCCTCATTCAGCTTTCCATTGAGTTTGAGTTGTTTTATTCCATGATGCTGGTTTAGCAAAAGCATTGTGGGAAAGCCACAATGTGTGGGCATTGGCGGCACACGTCTTTAATCCCAGCACTCAGGAGGCAGAGGCAGGCGGATCGCCGTGAGTTCGAGGCCAGCCCGCTCTCCAGAGCGAGTGCCAGGATAGGCTCCAAAGCTACACAGAGAAACCATGTCTCGAAAAACCAAACCAAACCAAACCAAACAAAAAAAGCATTGTGGGAAAGTGACACAAGTAACAGCAGAAACATTGTGGCAGAGCACAGCTCAAAGGTGGGGCGACTATGAATATTCACTGCTCCATAAACAAAATGAAAGGTTGCAGAGGAAGCGGATAAGGTTTAGGAAAGGGGGCCGCTGAATGGATAAGTATAGGATGCCTCCTACATGTCAGTCTATCAGTGAGGCCAAAGGAGATGCCATTGGCAAGAAAGATCAATGATACTGTCAGATGTGCCCCTCCCCCAGCCCCACTTCAGGAACTATGCGGTTGAATAGGTCTACAGGGAGAGCTGAGTCGATTGATTTGATATAATAGAATGGGAAAATGTTAGGTAGGAGCTGTTCCATGAGTTTGCTAGTGAAAATCCCACTCTTGAGTTTTCTGATCATTCTAAGGAAGAGCAGGAGCAGGGGTTCATGCCAGTCCAGGAACTCAAGGTACTTCCTCACCATAGTTGAGCTAGCCTAGTGTCTTTGGATTTGATCTGGAAGTCTTTGTGAGACACCGACTTTAGTTCGGTGATAAAATATAAAATGCAAGGTGAAAATTTAAAAGAGCAAGATATGTCTAATGACAAATACAGTGTTTTATTGTGGGACTCAGTCGTGTAGCTTACAATGTATGAAAAGGCATGCCACTCAAGGTCCTGTGTAGAGAAATTTCAGGTTATCACCTCATTGCCATCTCTGAAAGGGATAAGTAAAGCTAAACAGTTGTGTAGTTGTCATTTTGAGATAGTCTCCTGTAACCCAGTCTGAGATTGAACTCATTATTTAACTAAAGAAATTGACTTTGAATTTCTGATTCCCCTGCCTCTGCTTTACAAGGGCTACAGTTACAAGTGTGTACAAACATGCTTGGTGTATGAGTTTCTGAGGATTCAATCCAGGGTTTCCTGAAGGCTACAGAAGCACTCTACTGAGTCACATACCCTGCCCAAGTTTAGGCAGTTGTAACCTGAGTCACCCGTCTGCCAGTGCCATCTACTCGTAGACCAACAGTAATTTTTAAGATCTTATGGATGTATGAGTATTTGAAGGTTCAAAGAAGGATAGAATCGTCTTCACCAAACATAGTTACCACAGCAGTATAAAGTGGATGGAACTAGAAAGACTTAATCTCTGTAGGACATAACGAAGGGCTTAGCATAGATTCAGATGTGAGCCTGGTCCTAATTCCTCTCCAGTTAGTATTTCAGTTTCTTAGAGAGGGACATTTAAATGATGCCTGTGTGAATCAACATCTTAAATAAAATTAAAGTTACTGCCTTGCAATATATAGAAAAACATGCCCAAGGGAATACTATAGCCATAAACATGAAAAAATAAGCATATTTGAAACAGTATGGAAAGATAGTTGATATAAGGCAATGGTGCTGAGGGCTTGTAGGCAGAAGAGGCAAATTACTAAGGAGTGTGTGGTATGTGAGGCGGTGGGGCATGAACAATAGTAAATTAAATTAAATTAAAAAGTAGAAAAGTGGGCTAAGAGATGGTTCAGTGGTTAAGGGCACTGGCTGTTCTCGGTGCTCTTGACCCCTGGGTTCTGTTCTCAGCACTCATAAGGCAGATTACAGTGGTCTCTGAAGTGCTAATTCTGGTGCCCTCTTCTGACATCTGCAGGGACCAGGCACATATATAGAGACAGGCAAACCATTCATACACAAAATGAAAATAAAAACTTATTTAGTTAAAAGTGTAAAATACCCAAGAGGAAATATATGCCATCGTGCAACAAATGTTAATAGTACACTTTTTAATGTTGATGAGAAAAAGAATAGACAAGACTAGGAAACTGAGTAAAACATAAACACAAAATTCACAGGAGGAAATTCAAACAAGCCATGGCTATGCATTTACCTTTGGATACATGTGTTATGAATGCTGAATTTTAAATACAAATTCTCATTTGATTCTATCAAGTATACCAGTATAACAATACTAATATTTTATTCTACCTAATGGTTAAGGAAGTGAATTGCTATGTTTTCCTTAGTCAAATGATCTATTTGTATATAATGTCATTGCTATGACATATTAAATGTTCAATAAGAGTATTGAATCCTTTGAAAATTTGAACATGTCTTCTGAAACTTCAGATTGTTTATATATATATACATATATATATTCTATCTATGGATATTTAGTACAATGCTTATTTGTTGGAGGGGTCTCAAAAAACCCAGAAGAATATTTGCTAGTAAAAGTGGAAATGATGACCAATCCTTTCTGTCAATAATGTAATCATTAATAAACATCAGTTGGAGCCATGTAAGTAGCATTTAGAAACAAAATTGTGAGACATTGTATAAGGAATGGTCTATGATGATGTTACCCCGTCTTTAAAACGGAAGACCATAAACTGATATTTAAAAAAAAGAGTTGAAGTTGGGTAGGTAAGGAAGTGGTGAGGATTTGAGGGATGTTGGGAGAGGAGAAAACTATGATCCAAACATATTCAATGAAAAATTATTAAAACTTGATGACAGGTATGTGACTTGACTGTTGTGTGTGTGTAGGTTCCCTGGTAGTGCCACCAGGACCTATCCCAGGGGCATGAACTGGCTTTTTGGAGCCCACTCCCTATGGTGGGATACTTGCTCAGCCTTGATACAGCAGGGAGGGTCCTGCCTCAACTTGTTATGCCAGATTTTGTTGACTCCCCAAGGAAGGTCTTAACCCCTCTGAGGAGTGGATGGGGGAAGGAAGTGCAGGGGATAGGAGAAGGGAAGGGAGGGGGAACTGGGGTTTGTATATAAAATTAAAAGTATTTTTAAGAAAAATAAAAACAAATTATTTAAAAATTACTTGTGATATTCCAGAGAAGTTAGGAGGAAAAGATAAAAATGTTACCTGTGATTATACTGATTATGGTGTGTAATTCCTTAAGAAGATATGTGAATATACTGTGTTCATAGGAGCAGTTAGAAGAAATCAGAACTTACAGAGGAAAATTTGAGTGTAAAATAAATACTTGTAGGCTTTGTTCAGTGGCAATTCCTCTTTAAGCTGAGTTAGTGTTGGATCAATGTTGAGAACTTAAACATGGTCCTTAATGCCAAGCTTCATTGCTGTAAATAAAGCAGCTTCTACAAACCCCCCCCCCCTAATGCACACAGTGTTTTCATTATTGAGGATAAGTCCAAAGCCCCAACATCCTAGGCTGGACCTGTAACACTGAGCTACACATCTACTTGCAAAATTTTTGAGGAGAAGAATAAAATAAAACCTAAACATTGATTCTTTCTATGTAATTAAATAATTTACTGTTTGGCTTCGGGGAGCAAAGCTAAGAATCTTCCATGGTAGATGATTACTATGAGAAGGAATTGAACGCCTTCCTGTGAACTTGACATAGAGCAAGCTGAAGGCAGATATGTGCTCTGATGTGCAGTATTTGCTTAGGGGGAGTGAGAAGCGCAGAAGGAAAATACAGGAGCGTTCCTGGGATTGTCTGATGCAGACAATCCATCATGTGTTCATTGGGGGATTTTAGTACTAAACAATTTTAAGGATTGTTTTCTCACTTAAGTATAACTTTTATCCATACAGTTTAAACAAATGAATGATATACCTACCAAACCTTATGTCTTCAAAAAAGCTTACTTTAAAAGTTAGGCTTTATTTTTTATGTTTTCAT